ATATTTCTAATTTTTTTTAAAGTTAGTGAACATATGTTTAATGTTAATACTATATGTAGTCTATTATTGTGGAGGTACCAGCTTCTCAGAAGTGTTTGGTGGAAGCAGTATAGGTCATATATATGATGCCAATATTAGCATACTTTTTGACTATTTATTAATTTTTTTTTTTTTTTTTTTAATATATAATAGGTTATTCATCGGATATGTTAATTTTTGTTATCAGATCTAAATAATATTTTTTTTGTAATTTACATTTATTAAAAATTTTGTAAAATTATAGTTAATTAATAAAATCAAATATGCAAATTATGAAGTAATCAAAGTTTGCTCAAACATTATTTTCTATACACTTAGTTAATAAATGTGATGATGCTCATTTACTACAATCAATCAAAATAAGAATCCTAATTGATACTTGAGCGATCTATTAATATTTTATCAAATGTCGTTATCACTACATTTAGTTCGTTAACATTCGGTTGTTGCATATTAAGGTTGCATAATAAGGTTAATTGTGCGATCTCATTGAATACTCAATTAGTCTGCCGCAAAATGTTTGTAAATTGAAATTATAAACTCGCGTAATAATTTTTACTAATAAAAATTTATTGATTACGTAATAAACTTTATTAAACTACAATGTTTATCTAAATATTCATTACGATGTTAAACACTTTTGACTCCCTTAAATTATTTTCCGCTAAGTAAAATTTATTCACCGACACTTTTTGTCCAATTGATTAAGACACTCATAGTTTGGCATAATGTTTTGAATGAGATTTGTTTTTCATATGATTAAATTGTTTATTCGGCTTTACCACAAAAAATAAACGGTTCCAAACTCTACCTTTGCGTTATCTAACTATATACACGTCACTTTGATTATGTCAGCATCTATATGCAATGACATCTGGCTAGGGTTATTAATGGGTTAGGTTGGTCAACCCACTTCAACTTAAGTTGGGTTCTGTCTGAAGCCACACTAGAGTTGCACAAATTTCAATTTCATACTGGACTTTTAAATATCCTGTACCCATTCCAACTTGGGTTGGGGTCACTCAACCCAACATCTGGCTATAATGACATTTTTTAAATGGTTGAATCTATATACTTAACATGAAATGCTTCTAGTTAAACCGACATCCGGTCAAATTCTTTTTTTTTTTTATATCATAGGCAGAAGTTCGTTAATAAATTAAATTTATTTTACATGATTTATACAGTTTAGAGTACTTTTTAAAAAAAACGAAAACCAACCATAATAAAGTAAAAAAAAAAAAACTATATAGAAGGTCTAATTAGACTGTAGGACTCCATAGTCAAAAATAAGATCTAATTCTCGTCCGTTTAAAAAAATTAGCTTAGTAATAAGTTGTTTTTATCGGGTTTTAAGAAGTCATTATTATACTAACTTTTTTAAACGGACGAGAATTAGATCTTATTTTTGACTATGGAGTCCTACAGTTCTAATGAAACCTTCCATACAGCCTTTGTTATTTCATTATGGTTTTTTTAAAAGTACTCTGAACTGTATAAATAATGAGAAACAGAGTGACGTGCAGTTATTTGAAATTGTACTGCACAGAATATATAGTTTTTAAATTTTATTTTATTATACTTATGATTTTATAGTATATTGTTTTGTATTACTATATTATGAGTTATTGGTAATATTTTAAATGTAAATTTTCAGATGTTCATGTTCAATTCGTTCCGCTTGATATGAACCGGAATTGATATAAACTGTCATTAAAATGACAGGTCCGACTAATAAAAACATACAGTTCATATTTACGTAATTTGATATGTATAAAGTTAAAATCATAACTATACAACTAGTCTTCTTCCTAAAATCCCCAGGTTGACATCTGCATAACTGTTATCTTATATAATTTGGATCGTATCACTATTCTGGTCTAATAGAGATATAAATACTGTACAATTGTTAAAATTAATGGAATCAAGTAGTCAAAAGTTTCCAGGAAACAGAAACGGTATAAAAGTAAAAGTGGAAAATCAAGGCCATAATTCTTTGAGTCTTCAGCATTTTGTTATGGGTGATGTAAATAAGAATAATTCGAGAAAGCTTCAGTCATCACAACGACCAGTCTTTAATGCCAAACTGAATGTATGTTATTGGTGCTTTAAAAGTTTTGTTCCCTCATAATCTCTGAGATTATCCTAACATTGGTTTCTACGCGATTTTACAGAATGAATCATTGCTTCGGCTATCCCGAGTTCATTCATCGGATCGACATTTGTTGCCAATTGAACCAAAAGATTTGCCAAAGTTTGAAAAAATCGATTTATGTAAGTTTAAATTCATATAACTGTGAATTAAATAAAAAATTAATATATTTTTTGTGGGTTGAGTAGATTTAAGAAGATTTCATATGAAAGCAATTCAAGATGCTAAAACACAAGCTCTCATGAAAAAGTCCCAGGTATGTTGAAAGTCAATGCATTTGTTTTTTTTTAAACATCTAACAAATACCATACCTTCTCTTTTAGCTAAAGTCAAATATTAATAGATATGATATTATATTGCATATTGACCCAGAAATTCTATTGGAATTTGATTGTACGTTAATATATATATATATATATTATTACAATTTGACACAATTTTAGAAACTAACTTTTGTCATCATACATGTACATGTATTAGCCATACTTGGCAATGACCTTCTTAATAATTTTGTCGCGTCAAACCTTGAAGGTGATATCACAACAGGCTGTACAGCAATCCTTCAATCTATATTAGGTTCTGATGACATTCTAATGGCCGAGCAAGTTCGATGTAAAATCCAGCTAGAATATTTACCAGAATTGCCAGAGTGGGTAATACAATCATAAAAGTGTATGATTTCATAATTGTGATTAATGTTTTATGATCGTTCGTCATAGGTATCGGATAGAAACATTGTCTGACGTGCTTGATAAAACACGCCATCGTCAAGATCCTCTATTTGCTGTTTTTCGAGGCATTGTCGAGTGTTTATGGATGCCCACCTTTATTATGTAAGCGGTATCATTTATTTGATATTCTCGTTTATAATTCTGCCAAAATACAACATGAGGTAATACCTTGTTATCTTAGATTTAGTCGCACCTTCAAATGCGAAAATGTGGAGTGCTGTAATAAGAATTATTTGCACGTAGTACCAAGTGCTCGAACAAATCGTGTTATTAAGCGCACTGAAGCTGGAGAGTACTCTCAGACAAGCACGAGGTAATGCCAAGTCTTTGATAAATATGCTTTTATTGATTAATCTGTCTCTAAAGCAAGTATCATCAATGTCCATTCAAAATTTATAGCACAACTTTACATGACATTGATTTGAATTGTGGTTATTGTGGTAATGAAATGAAAGAAATGGTAGTTGACCGAGTATACACAAGTAAGTGCTATCTTTACATGTACGCGTTTACTTGTGCAATCCTTATTGACATAATGTACAATACTATTTTCAGCAAGACAATGTATCCGTATTTCATGCATAAAGTCAAATGAAAGTAAGGGCTCATTTTGCAATTCAATAATTGCGGTCCTGCAAGGTATACATTGTTTGGTACAATTTTTTAATACAATAATCTAAATAAAGGCATACAAAGTTATCTTTTGGTTTTCATAAAATAAAAATTTAAAAATGACTGGCAACCCAGCTTTTAATTTTATTTTCAAAAAAAATTATATATATAAAAATACACGTAAAAAATTATGCACACATATATATATATTTGGTTTGTATTTTTTTTTAGATGATTTGGTAAATTCCGTTGAAATAGGTCATGTAGTTGAAGTCATTGGTTTGGTTGGAAGACATTTTCCTGGCTTAGATGGTATGTATTGTTAATTGGAATAGTATAAGACAATTTGTTTAGAAATTAATTTGGAGGTAGATTCTAGATTTTGCAGCAAATTATGGTATGACAATGGTTTGCACGTCGAGGTATATTTTATGAATGTTTATTATTTTTAGAAATCTTTTTCTTTTTAATAATGTCAAGTTTGTATATTCAATTTAGGTTAATAATATTAAAAAAATTATTATGGTAATTACTTTATTATATATGCAAAATTCACATTCCAATATTATTTCTCAATCTGTTACTTTAATTATAGAACGAAATGATCTCTGCTCATTCATATTCGTTCAATTATGAGCAATATCCATTTGGTCTTCCAAATTACATTAATAATCTTAGAAAATGTGAGCATAAAAGTAAATTTAAATGGGAGGTTTTTTTTAATTTGACATTTATTTATTTAATTTCTAGTAAACTTGTCAGGTTGGGGATTCACACAAAGACTTGTAGATGTATTTTGTGGTACTTGTCAATGTACAAATACATAATCTGTTTTTAGGCTATATAAATTAATATTTTGTTTTTTATAGAAGATATTGTACCACGTTTTGCCTATAGAAAAATCAAGCTATTCCTGTTATTAAGGTATTTATTACATATTTTACTATAAATTTAATCATTGTTAATGTGAATTTCGTACGTGTTTAATATTGATGAAATTTCCATAAAACCAAGTCTAGTTGCCCTTTCTGAAAGACAAACAAAACATTGCATCTCACCAAGCATTCATATAATGACTATCAGCGATGGATACAATTCAATCATTCCTAAAATGATAAGACATGTATCAAAGTTGAAAAGGTTTTTTTTTTGTTAAATATTATCTACATAAATGTACAAACATTGCCTACTTAAATTTAAATGAATATTATGCTTTTTAATATAGGCACGAGGAATGGACATACGGTAATGGCCAAAAGAAGCATCCACTTTTTATAATTCAAAATGGGAACGGCACAACGAAGGAAAATTTTATTGAGTGTAATCGACTTTATGGAAACATATTTGTTATGATTAATTGAACTTTAACTCATCATTTTTTCTATTAACTTAGCTAATATACTTGCAAGGTCACAGGGCGGCATCCTCATGGTAAATTTGGATTCTTTGAATAAAAGAGACGTGGAATCGCTACGGCTGGGTAAGCATATACGCATATATATACTTTTACGCAAGCATATAAACTTTATGTTATAATTTTATTTATACATTTTTTCTAGTCATGAGCAAAAGTTCAAGTTTATCAACACAAAATCGCTACCACAAATTAAGCATAAATGCAAATACTTGTTGTTGGGGATGGTCTGTTGCGAAGCCTACTGGAAAGGTTATTAATCCCAGGACGACAGATGATGAAGGAATTGAAGTAAGAATCATTAGAATATAAATGACTTATCTTTGACGACATAATTTACACTTTTTTTTTTTGTAGTCTGTCTGTAATGATCCGATTAAGCCAATCATCGAGTTAGTATATAAAATTATGAATTAATTATTTGGTTTATTTATTTATTTTTGATTTTAATATTTCTTCAATTCGAAATGTAGTACGTTTGATCTAGTTACATACCTTAAAGAATGTGTTGATTCTGAAGCTAACGGTTTATTAGTGGACCATTTACTTGACAAAGAAATGTTAAACCCTGAAAGGAGTCAATTTGGGCTATCATTTGATGATCTTCATCAGGTAAAATGAAGAATATTAGTTATATTAGTTATTAGTTGCATTCCATAAATTTATATTATATGTTAGTAATCAATGAAAACAATAGTTCATCTCCATCGCAAGCAATATTGACGTCAAGTAAGCTTTTCTCAATCCCTTTTAAAAAAATCTTTTCAATAAATTCATTCTTGTTGCAATTTATTTATGATGCATGTAGGTTATCTACGGAGTGTAAAGACCTCATTCGTAAATATTTTTTGATGTGTCGTAGACTTAAAGGAGCTAGCCAAGGCTTTGCTTCCTCAACTGCATTGCTTGAGGTACATTGACAAAAGAAATAATTTCATAACTATTTTGACAAAATATAAATTTGTAAATAATAAATCAATAACGTTAGATATTTATATTTTATTTGATACTATAATAAACGTAGACTTTACTGCGTCTAGCAAGTTGTCACTCTAAGGTGAGAAGAAATATTTGGTTTACTAATGATTTGTGAATATTATTGGTATCATTTAACGTTTCATTCACCATTTTTATTTTAAGCTATGTCTTCAAAGTGTTGGAAGTGTAGATGATGCATTAGTCAGTATATTAGTAGTAGAAGAAACTTTGGTATCAAAATATGGGTCATCCGCTTCTGTTCTTGGATTTGTTCCATTACTTGATGATCAAGAGAATCTGCACAAGTTGTATGCTTGTCAAAATTCCACATTCGGTGAACCGATATCAAATAATAAAAAATCGGTATAATTATAGAATTTTAAATGATTGAGAAATTTTATTTAATTATTAAGTTTACTAATTTAATTTATAAATTTATTTAGTCATTTGCTCAAGGTGTCAATGATCAACAAGATACCAATGAATATTTTTCATACCTTTGTCATGTTTCAAAGCAAGATAACGAAAAAATGTCAAGATTTTATCAACATTTGGTACGCGTTCTTAAATCTTTTGGAGATGGATCTGTTGAAAGCAGTGATACCAATAAAAATGGTATACACTTTGATAATTTCGCAGCTATTTTTAATGATGGACTAGATAGTTGAATTAGTTATTTTATTAATTAATTTTCACTAATTAAATGCTTTGACTTAGTTTATGCAATATGTTTAAATTGTATTTTTTTTTAAAAAAAAAACAAGTAACATTTTAATAGCTTTATTTACTGTATTATAATTACTGTATTAAAAAAATTTAATTAACATTAGATTACTAATTCTAACTTGTATATTAACACCTTACACAAAGTGATTAAGAGTAAACTAATACTTTGGCGATAAAAGATGTTATAAAAAAGCATAATTCAAAATGATTTAAAACTTATTTAACCATTTTTTTAAAGTGTAAGCAATTTCATGAAATCTTAAAATTTGTTATAAATTCACTTTTATTATATAAAAAATTAAAGAATTAAAATTTTATATGAGAACTGCCAAGGTAAAACCTGTAATTGTTAGTTTTCCAAAATTTCATTTTCAGTTTATATTGTCTGTTTTTAAAAGTGAAATTTCCGAAAATCAAGAATTACAAGGTTTTACCTTGATAGGTCTCATATATGTACGGATGTTCGATAAGTTCCTAGACAAGTATTGGTTTTTATTATATAAGATATTTAACGTTAATTTATTTAGTGATTTAAAAACAGGTCCTGTCCAGGGACTTATCAAACATCCGGTATAGGAAATTACTATTTTCACTATTTCAACCAAAGCTACTGTATACTGCAGTAGGACCGTAAAAGATATACCAATCAGATCTCTTCCGATAATCAGCACAGAATAAGATTATCAGATCAGGTATAATAAATTTCTTGTAAAATTTTAATGTACTACCTAACGTAAAGTTTTATTACATTAAACATATTGCGCATACTACAGTCTTATTGGAGTAATTGATATATGTTTAATTCGTTTAAAATGAACAATGTGAATTGCGTAACAAAAATTATACGTATAATTAGAAAGTTTAACAATATAATGGTTTCATCAAAAATTCATGTAGAAGACAAATAAACTTTGAAATGAATATAGTGATTCCAGTATGGCAGATTAATTAGACAAAAATTATGTACCAATGCAATTACATTTAAAACCGGTGGTTATAAAAAAACCAAGGCTGTTTTGTTTATTTACTGTTAGAAGAAAATGTTTACGGATCAATTTAAAAAAACTATAGTCCTAAACATAAATATATCGTTATAGTTAAGCACAAATAACTCTTATTTTATTTATATGTAGGTAGTTAATTGTTAAAAATAAGGATGTTAGCAGTCTAGTCTGATCCAGTATGGTCTATTTTGGTCCAGTCCAAGACTGGTCTATTATGGTATACGGTCTTAGAACTTTGTTAGTTCAGACTAGTTTTGTCTTAAGACTAAGAGCGAACTAATTTTTTTTCAGGTCTAGACTGGTCTTAAGACCAACTATAGTTCATTAGTTTAAGACCAGACCAAATAACATTACTAATTAAAAAAAACATTCGCGGCATTTTCACAATGAAAGAAATGGTTTGAAAATATTGAATAGAATTTTGTACCAATCTGAAAAATGATTGATAAATAAAATGTTTAGAAAATATAAACCTTTTTTCAAGAATATAAAATGGGCAAAATAAAATTACTGCATATTAGTAATAAATCAGTAACTAAATTTCTGTTGTAATTTTTTACAAAATACCAATTTTTGAAGATTATTAATTTGCTCAATCAATTTGATTTGTGTATAAAGCATATTTGGGTTGATACTAAAGCAACTTTAGCATGCTTAAATAAACTTGTTTGTGTGTACTAGTATGTTTAGATACAGTATATAAATAATTTAATTTATAAATTTTAGGTTTTACTAAATTACATCAGTAGTGTTTAACATCACAATTGCTATATATTAAAAATTAGTATTGTTTTTTTTTATTGTTAAAGGTTATACTTCATAGCAGTATTTTCATTATAATTATTTTTACAGAAATGAGAATACAACTAGACATATATGCAACTTTTAGTTGCTTATTTTAAGTAGTTCATTCTGGAGTTTTACATTAGCTGTTACATCTATGATCTGTTAGAAGATTATTCATTTAAATTCTCTAATTATTAACCTTATCAATTATTTTTAACTATCAGAAACCTTTGTATATATATATATATACTATTTGAATAACATATGCATTCTCTTTTTATATTAGTACTTAGGTTATTTTTTATTAGAAAGTTATCTGCTAGTAAGACTTAGAATACCTTTTTGTTAACTAATCTATTTACTTTATAGACTATTAACAGAGTTATACTTTTATAAAATTTACTTAAACCTTAGTATCTACTTTATAAATATTTTTAATACTTTGTATATTTCTGTTTTGTTCTTAAACTTTTAATTTAAATAACTTAAAAAAATTATAATTTGTTTCTAGTATATTAAGCTTAGTTAATATCTTATTCTTTTGGTTTAGATTTAACTATCTGATTAATAATACTTTTTGCTTAAAGGTTCTTGTTTGCCTGATTTTTTTATATTGATATTCATTTTTAAATCTAAATTTAACAGTAATATCATTAAAAATTAGTATTATTTTGCTATTTAGATTTTTTATTTTCTGTTTTTTTTTTAATTTTATAGATTTATATAATTACAAAAATTTATTTTGGATTTGTATTTTTGACACCAGTTTGCATTTTTTTGTATAACCAAGATTATATAAAAGTTCTATAATCTGCTAGTTATATTAGTGCAACTATAATTACAAATATTTTATCTTTACTAATTAAAAAAAAACTTTTGTTACAATACAAATATTTTTTTAAATTTTTGTTTCTAATAAGTTTTGAACTTATAATCTGTTGCTTAAAAGAGTAACAACTTATTTACTTTATAAGTTATTATATTTCAAAATTAGTATTGTTAAATTTTCTTTTTAGTAAACAATTTTTAATTTTTTAATAAAATTTTGTAATAATAAAAACTCTAATAACATTATTAAATTTATTTTTAGTAATCTTTTAATGATCTATTAATAAGCTTCTAATAACAGCTCTGTTAAAAATTATCTATTAACTAATACTAAATATAAATTTAAACCAATATTATTACTATAGTTCAAGTTTTTAGTTTTAAATTTTATTAGCAAAACTATATAAGATAGATGCTAAAAAAAAATCAAATTAACAATTTTTTTAAAATAAATTTTTTAAGCTTAAATAATTTAAATTTTACTTAAAAACATTTTTCACTTAAGAAATATTGCTGCATTAATAATATTTTATAATATAATCATTTTAAAATTTGTATTCTTATATAAGTTAATATAGATTTTATAATATAAAAATTAATTTTTTACAAAATTTATTTTGTGTCAATTTGGCTTTCTTTTTTATATATTGGAAAACAAGTTTTACTTAAACATGCCAGTAGTGTTCAACACTATATATTTTTACAATAAAATTTAGAATTAAGGTGTGGTTATAAACTAAAAAGAAGTCAGATATGAAGGATCAAATTTTGGTTAGCATGAGGCTTTAAATATTTTTACTTAATATATCTGATTTCCATTCCTTAGTTTTTGCAACTGTGATGTTGACCACTAGTGCGTTTTAGTAACCTCAAAAATATTAATCGTTTAAACGATTTGATTTATATATTCAAAAATATTAAAATAGAGAATATAAGGATTGGATTTAGTTATACAAATTATCTACAAGTTACACTTAATTCTGCAAATTTTTGGCTAATATATTATGCGCAATTTGACTACGTATAACTAAATACCTAGACCAGTGGCACTGACAGATTTTCATTGATCGACAGCGATTGACCAATTAGATTACAAAAAACTGCCGTAACTCGAAATTTCGTCTATATAACCATCTTCTGTGCGTTAGTAAAAAAATTCCTTGCAAAATTTTAGTATAAGACAAGTATCGTTATAATTATAAACCTGACCCTAATGTAACGTTTTATGACTTTAAAAGAATTATCGATCAGTGAAAGTCTGTAGGTGCCACTGGTGTAAGATTGACTGTTGGTGGTCCGTGCCAATCCTGAACACTAATGTTAAGTAAAATATTCCGACTCTTACATAATTACGCGAAATAAACCAATCAAAATTGACTATATTCGGCACTTTTATACGAAAAGTAAATGGTTTATTTTGTTTTTAACTTCATTTTGCACCTTTACGAATAATGGATATCTTAAGTTATCCAGTACTGTATTAAAAAATATACAGCATATAAAACATTCACCTTTTTATTAATAAAAACTTTAAATGATTATAACTTCTTAAAACAAACTAGGTCAGAAAACCCTTCGACAAATTGATAGATTTTTGGCCAATCCACATTTTTTTCGGACGATTTTTTATTATATTTTGTTTTAAAAAAGTTATGATGAATTAAAGTTTATAATGATTTAAAAAATTGGAGTTGAAAAGAAAATATATATGTTTAATCAGCCAATTAAAATCAACTATACCAAAATTAACCAATCAAAATTGATTTATAAGCACCAAAAATAGGTGCTCCAAATAACACTAATACCAATTATAACATAAATGTATTAACTTTAAATAAAATTTACTACTTTTGGAGATTATTTGTTCAAAATAAATACAACCAACACTCCTACAGTCACCCGTTTTACAACCACATATTCTTTATAAGCACACTTGAATAACAAACCATCTATTAAAGTATTATAATTATCAAGCCTTAAGTTTTGTTAGGAATTCCAATAAATAGATACATATAATTAACAAGCAGCCCAGATGTGGAAAATCTAAAATTTCGAATTATATCAATAATAATGATTAATATTAAGATTTAGGTTGTATAAAATTAATGTCTTGGTTTTCGTAACCCAGTTGGGTTAAATTTGAAATTTTTTAATAATCAGTAGATACTTTAAAAAATTTTTACATAAAAAAATCGAGTGACCAAGGTTGTTTTAGAATTTTAATGTCAATGAAAACCAAGAAATTAATTTGTATGACCTTCATGAAAACTTTCATAAACTTACAAAATGCCAGTATAAGATGGTGTACGTCCAGCGTTAGGATCTTGGTCAGAAATTTTTTCATTTGTTAAAGAAATTATAGAGAATGCTAAAGCGACCCACGATGCCCACTTTATCTTTAAAAAGAGTTACGACATTGTTAATACAGAAATCTAACGATATGTACGCTGATTCCAAGTTACCTTTATAAGTAGACCAACCGTGCCTGTAAAATTTAATTTGAATTTTCACTACTGGACAAAACTACGCTTGCACTTTATCATAAATGAAACCAAATAGAAAACACATACTTAACAGAAGTGATGCAACTCCATAAAAATCAGGATCAATTTCATCTGGTTCTTTCTTTGGCATATGGTACTTAACAGTATTATTAGGACGTCGTGGATCGGCAGTTGAAGGTTGAATTGCAGACATGATTCTTAAGGGAGTGAGTGGATCTTTGAGCGATATAACTAAAGAATTGGATCTGAGTGCGTACATACGTTAACATTATCTACTATATCACGTTATTTGTATTACTTGTAGAAAACTACGTTTTTGATAAGATTGGAACCGTTTAACCGTTTAAAAATTCCATAGTTCCGGGCAGAATTATGTTAGTTGTGGGCCGGAATTATTTTAATGCCAGCCAAATTAAACGGTTAAACGGTTAAACGGTTAAACGATTAAGAAAATTTTAGGTTCCATCGATTACAAAATCACGGGAAGATGGCCTTGATTTGAAAATTTGATGACGTAGCAGTGAATTTCTGACTAGCATCCCCCCAAAATTTTCATAAACTACGTAGGAAATTCTACCACATATATAAGGTCACTTTCCGAAATCTCGTTTTGCATTCATTCTTGATAGTTTTCTGTTCTTGACACTTTTCTAATTAATCTAAACGGGGTTTCTTTTCGTATTGTCACTTATTTTGAACTTTGTTCTTCGACGATTTCCCTGGGCTAAATTGTATACATTATTATTACTATCCTTTTTGTCAAATTAATATGGCGGGTTCCGAGCTTTCCACTCCTGAATTATATGCATTGAGATTAGTTGATCCTAATATAAGTATGGAATCTTAGTTTCTCCTAAGCACTGATATTTCTTCTGTTGTGTGTTTACTGATCTTGTTAATACAATGTCACTTCTGATATAGCGTTTAAAACAAAATTATCAATTGCTATTAATCTCAGAGATTCTGTCGAAGTCTATCAAAATGCAGATTATAACCGTTTTCTTCAAGCTTTGATGCCCGTGTTAACGAAAATGCTAACGGAGGAACAACCCGTTTTCGATAGCAATTCCGAAGAGCAGGTATACAAATACTGTATGTACTCTTTAAATGTAAACCAATTCCTTTATTATTCACGTTTTTTCTCTTTCACTTTTTTTTCTAATACAGAAATTGCGAAATCTATATTTAGAAATATTACATCGGTTGCCTCAAAACGATTCGCTTCTACCATATGCCTCAAACCTTCTGAAAACACTAATGGAACTGTTGAAGAAAGAAAATGAAGATAATGCGGTTATCTGCTTAAAAATTATTATCGATTTGCACCGGAGTTATAAACATCAGTTAGTAGACTTAGTCAAGCCTTTTTTAGACATTGTCCAAGAAATGTACAAGAATATGGAGCAAACAGTAAAGGATTCCTTTGATTCACCAGGAATTGTTGCCACACCAAACGTTGGCACTGTAAGTACAATAAAAAAATAAGCATTTTTCGCGTTTTAGACTGAGAACATTTAGATTATATAACTATTGGTCTTATTAAATTATTTTTATTCGCGTTTTTACGTGTCATTCAGCCAGTTCAACCAATAGTACTTGTTCCTCCTTCTTCACGTCCATCGTCGCCTGTTTCAGACGTTACAGCAAATGAAACTACTCCCAATAAAGTTTTGGCTGGAAGCTTACACAGCTTTAAAGTCTTGACCGAATGTCCTATAATTGTAGTCTTACTTTTTCAGTCGCACAGACACTTTGTTAATGACAATATTGGAAATTTCGTTCCACTCATTATTAAAGTACGTTATGAAAACATTAACCTCTTAAAGGATTTATAAACATTAGTAAAATATTAACATAGTTATGAAAATGATATATCCATATTATATTAATTTAAATAGACATTGGGACTACAGGCTCGTCCCCAAGCTGAAGCACAAGAAGCAGCTAGGGCTAGAGGTGAAATATTTGTTGGTGTTGCACCAGGAATTAGAGATCGCGCGAAATATACAGAATTCATTATAGCTCAAGTTAAAGTACGTTTAAATTATTTTATTATCATTTTCATTTTGTCATTTGTTTCATAGTTTTTTACGTTACTTGATTCACATAGACCATGTCTTTTTTGGCGTACGTTCTTCGTGCATATACTAATGCATTACAAGAATACCAAAGTATGATACCTGATTTTGTCATACGATTACTTCAAGATTGTCCACCTGAGGCCTCAGCAACCAGAAAGGTAATATCTTGTTAAATCACATGCTATCATATGATACAGGTTATCACGTGATTTATAACACTAACCTATTACTAATTGGTACTACAGGAATTGCTGGTCGCGACTCGACATATTCTCTCAACCGATTTTCGCTCCGCTTTTGTAAGCAAAATTGATATTCTTCTTAATGAGAAAGTTCTAATTGGTAGTGGGGTTACATCTCATGATACTCTTCGGTAACTTAATATTTCATCTTTGCACATTATATTAATTCATGAATACAACATTAAATTTTAATGTGTATTGTTGAATAGGCCTTTAGCATATAGTATGTTGGCAGACCTAGTCCATCATGTACGGAATGAACTTTCTCCAGCGCAACTTTCAAGAACCGTATATATTTATTCGCGTAATTTGCATGATCCAACCTTGGCTGCTAGTATTCAAACTATGTGCTCTAAACTTTTGCTAAATTTAACTGAATGTATTGTGAAGATTCCTAAGAAAGATGGCAAAGATGAAGGTTTAATAATTAATTTTATGATATATTTGTAACCACCGTAATATTGTGCTCATTTTTTAATATTAAAATTTACAGCAAGAGATTTGCTAATCAAAGTTTTGGATACTTTTGCTAATAAATTTGTAACCCTGAACTTGGTATTTGCTGATATTCAGCGACAACAACGAAGGAAAAAAGCTGCTGCTAGTGATTCAAATATAATAGAAAAAATTGATGACTTTGATTTTGAACAAGCACGTCCTATTAATACGTCTACACCTGGTGAACTTCAACATGATGCTATAAATGGTTTGCATATGCTTATTAAGTTTATAAAATGTGTGCGTGTTTTTTTTTTTTTTGTTTTTATATATAAATTTTCAATTTTATCTAGACGGAAGATTTCTGTTCAGAAATCTAGTTACTGGTCTTAAACCAATCATCCAATGGTTAAAAGAGTGCAATCCACCACTTCCAAACAATTCCAAGACCCCTGTTCAACAACCCAATTCAGTTGCTCGTGGATTTACTCAAGAACAAGTAGATATTTTTATTGGTTTGTTTAGAGAGGGTGTACGTTGCTTTGATTATTTCAACATAGACAATGTGGATACGAATCAGGTCAAATATTCTGATAAGTTAACTCCTATAGAGATCCCAAGTAGGATTGGTCCATATTCGAAGGTGGAAAAGGAAGCACTTGAACATTTCAGTTCTGCTTTTGTAATGGTCGATCCTGCTATATTTCAGGAGATTTTTGCTTCACAAATGAATTTTTTTTTCGATCAAATGCTACAAAATACTTCCCTTCTTCAAATACCTCAGTATTTTTTAGCACATAACGACGTAATTTCTCAAAGCTTTGCAGGAATTTTATTGAGATTCCTTGTAGATAGATTAGACAAACTTGGGGGTCCTGATCCTTTATATTCACAAGTAATGCTTCGGTTGTTTAAACTAGCATTCATGGCTGTGACATTATTTCCAAATCATAATGAAAGCGTGCTTCATCCACATCTTGCAAACATAATAACGTCTTCCATGAAACTTTCTGCCAAGGCTAAGGAACCGATTAACTATTTCTTACTTCTTAGAGCACTTTTTAGAAGCATTGGTGGTGGTAGATTTGAAACATTGTATAAAGAAGTCTTTCCATTGCTACAAGTGCTTCTGGAAGGGCTCAACTCATTATTATCACTAATACATAAACAACGCATGCGAGATTTATTTGTTGAGCTCTGTCTCACTGTACCTGTGAGGCTTAGCGTACTTCTACCTTTTCTTAGTTACTTAATGAAGCCTCTTGTCTTGGCTTTACAGGCAGGCCCAGAATTAGTTACACAAGGCCTTCGGACCTTGGAACTCTGCATTGATAATCTAACACCTGAATTTTTGGATCCTATCATGGCTCCGGTCATTAATGATCTTATGAATGCACTCTGGAAACATCTAAAACCAACGCCATATAATAATACTCATAGTCATGTAGCTATGAGGATTTTAGGTAAATTAGGAGGAAGAAATCGACGTATGCTTAAAGATCCTGCGCAACTTAATTATTATGCACCACCATTGACCGGAATTGATTTACAGATTTATTTTGAGCCGCATACAAATCCACATAATTTACCATTAGACGAAGGCTTATCACTTGCTGCAAGGGTGCTACAAGATCCTAATACTACTTTCTTTTATAGAAAAAATGCGTATAAATTTCTAGTAGCTACTATTCCCTTGTTTATTAATTTGGACGAAGGACCAGAAAATCTGGCTATCTCAATAACAGCAAGAGTTCAACAACAATTACTGCAAAATAATGAAGGGGATGATATGGAAATAATCCCATTAAGCACGGAAAATACACATGGTGATATTCCAATCGTAACAGATGAATTTCGTGAACTTTCAATAAACAATATGCCGAGTAAAGAAGGGCACAAACAAATATTGAAAAGAAAGGTTGTACAGGAGGAAACGCTGCAAAATGTGATATATTCTCTTTTTGTAGCGTCGTCATTACAAGATCTCAAAGATCAAGCATGGCCATTTCTTGAAAATATTTGCCGACATTTTGCATTATTAGAAGTTAGTGAAGCCCTAAATTATCGTTATGCAAGAGAAAAAAGGTTTGATTTTAATAACGACGAAAAGCAATATAGTTTGGAGACCAAAGTAATGGTAGAAGCTTTGGTAGAGGTCATAACGTCAGAGAACACCAATCTTAGTAAGCTTGCTGAAACTGCTTTGACTTTAATATATGAAACATGTGTCATTATTACTGGATCTAAGGATGCACTTATTCGCTTTCCATTATTTCATGTATTGGCATCTCGTTTTTGCTCTTGTTGCTATAAACAAGAATGGTTTCGCAAGGATGGAGGCTGCACGGGGATCTCGATTCTCAGTTCTAAACTTGACATGGGTACGCAATGGATGTTAGAACATGAAGTGGAATTTGTCAAATCTTTGCTTTTCATTTTAAAAGATATGTCTCCAGACTTTGCAGCTGGTTATGTTGAGAATGCTTCTCAGACACTCCTACACGTTTTAACAATTTGCAATCAACAAGAACAATCAGAAAGCCATAGTGAAGATGTTGAAATGATAGATTCAAAGGACGAGAGACAAACAAAGTTTGACAAGCTCATTACTTTACTAACTTCAGAGTTGTCTAATGCAAATTCTGCAGTAAGAGAAACAGTACAACAATCACTTAAAATAATTGCCGAACTGAAACAATGTAATGTTACTGACTTGCTTTCTACCGCACGAGACACATTGCTTAGTCCCATTTTCGGTAAACCGTTTCGAGCCCATCCCGCCCCAATGCAAATCGGGCACATTGATGCAATTACATATTGTTTGCAATTACAGCCTCCTTTATTAGATTTTAGTAATTATGAAGAGCTTGTTAGGCTTTTGAATGAAGCTTTGACGCTTGTAGATACCGATGATCAAGTTTTGGCTAGTCGTTCAACACAGTATAAAACTTCTACAGCTGGGATTAATCTTAGAATAGTTTGCATTAAGTTATTATCCGCGTCTATGATGCGTTCAGATTCCTTTCCACCAAATTCTGCAGTTGCTACTCGGACTCGTATAATTGGTGTTTTTTTCAAATCATTATACTCAAAAGCACCAGAGGTAGTAGATGTCGCGAACAAAGGGCTTCAACAAGTTCTTCAACAACAACACAAACTTCCTAAAGATCTTTTACAAGCTGGTTTGAGACCGATCTTAGTCAACCTGTCAGATCATAAAAAGCTAACTGTAGCGGGACTTGAAGGTTTAGCTAGACTTCTTGAATTGCTCACAAATTATTTTAAGGTTGAAATTGGAAGAAAATTACTCGACCATCTTCGCCAATGGGCTGAACCGACAGTTCTACAAGAATCTGCTGGCAAGCCACTTATCGAAATAGAATCTATTAAAATTATAGTCGCAATCTTGAATGTTTTTCATCTTTTACCTCCAGCCGCCTTCGTCTTTTTGGACGATCTAGTTACTATTGTATTAGAGCTGGAGGAACAGCTGCGTCGATCCATGTCCAGTCCTTTTCGTTTTCCTCTTATCAAATTTTTGAACCGTTATTCGTCTAATGCTATTGAATATTTTTACAATAAAGTTGGCAATGATAAATTTATTCGATTATTTATTAATATCTTGGGGAATGACCAAGCTACTCAACTCAGAGAAGACATTATGAAAAATCCATTACAACTAATTGATAAAACTTCCAACATTCAGGACTTGGATAATGCAGATGAAGTGAAATTTCAGAGAATTGTTATTATTCTAGAGATTGTAAAATTCCGTCCTAGCTGGTTGGTTGAGCCTTCTTCCGAACCTATTCTTAAATCCATCAAGGAAGCATGGAATGATCCGGGGCGTCTGGAAAGATTGAAACGAGAAGATACTTTAAACTTGTCTCAATGCCGTGAATCCAAACACCTTGTTGAGATCTTCATCTATTATCTAAAAGAAAATCCAGATGATATTGATTTGTTGTTCGAATTAGTAACTATATTTTCTTATGAAAGTGTAATTGATTATACATTCCTAAAGAAATTTTATCAGGAAGAAGTAGCAATGAAATATAATGTGATACAAAAAAGAAAAATCCTTGACAAGTTTTTGAATAGTTTCCTTGATCCTTCAATTCCTGCTAATATTAAGATGCAATCTTTGAAAGTTATTATTACTCCAATGCTTTTGTTTGCATTTGCCAAAGGACAAGAATATGAGCAAATTATTGGAACTATTCAAATGGATAAAATTCAGCATATTTGGCGTTATCTAACCGAAACTCATGATGAAATTGAAGATTCATTACGTATTGAGGTTCTACAATTTTCAACGCTTCTTGTGCAACGCGTGCCACATCTTATTAGTGCACGAAGCGACCTCGCAAAAATTGGTTGGAATTGGTCCAGGGCTGATGATATAACTGCTAAACAAACTGCATTTGTCTTTTTGGCCCAAATTTTTGCGGAATTTGACTCGGTTAATTCAAAAATTTTATTCCAATCTTATTTTGCACTTTTAAGAGCGCATCAACTAGAAGCAAGAACATTAGTAAAACAAGCTTTAGATATTCTTGCACCTGTGATTCCAAAATTAAAAACTCATCATCCACTTCCGTCTAAAGAATCTTTTGATGAATCCAAGAAAGATTCAAAAAATAAAAAAGCTCCAACTCCAACTTGGATTCAATACGCGAAAAAAGTTTTACTAGAGGACGGTCACAGTGTTTCTCAATTAGTTAATGTATACCAATTGCTAGTGCGCCACCCTGATTTGTTTTATGAACACAGAGAGCATTTTATGTCACAAATTGCAAATACCTTAACAAGATTAGGATTACTTCAAAGTGCTACTGCTGAGACGCGACTTCTAACCATAGATCTATCCGAATTAATATTAAAATGGGAAAAGCGTAGAATTTCTGAAAATCGCATAACGGAACAATCAAGTGCAGCGTCAACTCCTGCTATGACACCGGACAAGCGTCGCATTGACTCAGAATCCGAGCATTCTTCACGTAAACGGATGTTGATTGAACATGGTGGCGAATATAGGAGTGTAATTGCAGAACAAAACCAAAAGTATACCCCAAACATAAATCTGCGAGAAAGTATTGTTGGATACCTCACTCGATTTGTGTGTACATCCACCGAATCTGTTAGCAAAACTGGATTGGCTCGTCGTGCTTTAGAATTAATAAAAGAATTTTTACTTCCTGACTTTTGGCCCGAGGTCAACGTGAAACTTTCTACCCTTGATAGAACACTCAAATATACAGAAGTCAACCAAAATATACTTAATAGTGTTTGCAATAGTCTAGAAGTTTTAAATGTAATACTTGAAAGAAAACCAGCCGATTGGTGCCTTGTAAATATTGTACATCTTCAACAATTATTAGAACATAGCATCGGAAGCACGCAAATAAGGATTCAAGAATGTCTTCATCCAGTACTTGTTCATATATATAAATCTTTGGCTCCTCCACCATTTGATGAAACTACTACTCCCTTAAATCCAGAACAGCCATCTTCACCTGATTCTGAAGTTGAAAATTTTATTAAAATTATCCACACTACAATTCAAGAAGCTCTTCAAAACATGAATAACTTATATACTGCAATGATGTTATTAAAATCTGTGGGCTGTAATACTCCAAAAAACATTGATCCTTTTCTATCAGGAATAATTCAAGTTATACAAAAACTTATAAAAGATTTACAACAAAATGTTTCCAATAATTTAAATGGCGCGCAGGCACCTGACTCTCCGATTAGCATTCTTATAATGGCGTTACAACTTGTAAATTCACGAGTTTCAGAGTTGACTGATCAAAGACCAATTTTCCTTGCAGCACTTTCCCAACTAACAGAAAAAACCGAAAAAATTAATAATTATGAGCTTTCTCGAACAATTTTTGAAATGGTTAAAGAATGGGTTGTCAGTAAATTGGAACCTTTTCCCACTCTGGAGGAAAAATCAGACTTACTCGTCAAAATGTTATGTTTTGAATCTTTAGATGATAAGACTTTGATTGAAGATTTTTTGAATCTTGTTATCTCTATATATAGTGATCCTTCTTTTACTAGAACTGAGATGACAGTGAAGTTAGAAAAAGCATTTTTAATTGGCACTCGTTATAATAATCCTAAAATTAGAAATCGTTTTATGGAAATATTTGACCATAGTATGGCTCGATTATTGTCAACGCGTCTTTCATATATAGTATCAGACCAAAATTGGGAGTTTTTAGCAAACTATTTTTGGCTTCATCAAGCTTTGGATGTTCTTTTGGGTTCTGTTTCGTCTAAGAAAAGAATTCAGCCACCAACATACAGTTTGCAAACAAAATCTATTACAACCTTTGGAGAGTGTTCGAATTTATCATCATTGACTCCTAGTAAAGAACTTGAAGACTTTTTAATGAAACATCGAGAATTTTTGCGTGATCTGAAAAAATTACGTATCAGTGATATATTACCACATTTGAAACAATTACATTATTTAGATGATAATTTAGCATATAAACTATGGGTAGGCCTTTTTCCCTTTTGCTGGGCCATTGTTCCTTCTAAGGAACGACAGGACTTGTCTAATAACTTGATAGCGCTATTGTCAAAAGAATATCACGCGATACAATCAGAATTAAGACCGAATTGCATACAAGCGTTATTGGAAAGCATATCACGTTGTTCGCCCACCATTAGACTGCCACCACACTTAGTAAAATACCTTGGAAAGTCTCATGGCGCCTGGCATACAGCTATGGAGATTCTCCAGACCACTTTTGAAGGCATCAAAGAAGACGATAAGTTTAAAGAAAGCACTTTAGATGCGTTATCTGATTTGTATTCAACTCTATCAGAGGATGATATGTTCTACGGCGTGTGGAAACGACGATGTAAATTTCCAGATACAAATACCGCAATATCATATGAACAATGTGGAAACTGGACACAAGCGTTACTTGCATACGAGAACGCGCAAACAAAATCGCGAGCATCGGGTTCTCCGTGTACTGAGTCAGAATATTTGCTGTGGGAAGATCATTGGGTCATATGCTCTCAAAAGTTGCAACAGTGGGACATTCTTATTGACTTTGCCAAAAACGAGAATAATATAGACTTAATGTTTGAGAGTGCTTTCCGTTCAATAGATTTGGCTACTGAAAAAGAGTTTTTCGAACAAAATGTTCAAGCATTTTCAGAGTCACATCCGAATCCAAGACGAAAAATGTTTGAGGCATTCATGAATTTAATGAAATCTCAACAATCAAACAACTATGATGATTTTAAAAAAATCTCTGAAGAAGCTCATCAATCAGCTTTACGAAAATGGCATACGCTTCCAAACGTAGTTTCACAGAGCCACATCCCTTTACTTCATTCATTCCAACTTTTAGTTGAATTTGACGATGCTACAAGAATGTTTTCATCCTTAGCTGATATTAACCACCAAAATGCTGATACTAAAGCTAGTGAATTAAAGAGTGTATTGCAAAGCTGGCGAGAACGATTACCAAATATGTGGGACGATATAAATGTGTGGAGCGATATTGTTGCTTGGAGACGTCATGTTTTTAATGTAATAAATAAATCATTTGCACAATTTCAAGCCCAGAACACAACTAATACCATGGCAAATACCAATTACCCATTCCGCGGGCATCACGAAACAGCGTGGACCATCAATAGATTCGCACACGTCGCGAGAAAGCATCAACTTTCTGAAGTGTGCATCAACTTTTTACAACTAATTTATAATTTACCGAACATTGAAATACAAGAAGCCTTTTTGAAGTTAACAGAGCAAACTAAATGTCATTATCAAAACCCGAACGATGTGGCTAATGCTCTAGATGTTATAAACAATACTAATCTTAATTATTTTGGGTCTCAACAAAAGGCTGAATTTCATACTTTACGTGGAATGATACAAGCCAAATTGGGTAGAGACCCTGAAGCTAATGATAGCTTTTCACGAGCTGTGCAAGTGGATATGCGCCTTCCTAAAGCATGGGCAGCATGGGGACATTATTATGATAACAAATTCAAAGCAAATCCCGACGAAACTACCTTCGCTGCTAATGCTTTGAGTTGTTATTTACAGGCAGCCGGCCTTTATAATAATCCTAAATCTAGAAAACTTCTCGTTCGCATTTTATGGCTTTTGTCTGTTGATGATGATAAAGGACATATTTCTCGAGTATTTGAGACATATAATAGTAAGAGTGAAGTTCCAGTATGGTACTGGATAACTTTCATACCGCAACTTATAGCATGTTTATTGCATAAAGAAGCAAGGCACGCTCGTACAATTCTTATGAAAATTGCTAAACAATATCCCCAGGTAATCAATGACGTTATTGTAAAATCTGCTGTTAAAATAAAAAAATAAAAAATAAAAAAAAATTGTCGTGTTATTTTAAATAGGCCTTGCACTTCCAATTGCGAACAGCCCGAGAGGAATCCATATTGATTAAAAGACAGGCTCAGGCTGTTCAACAAGGGCAGGCTCGTGCAGGACAAATTTCATCTTCAATTGCTAATACTTCAGGAGCTCCACAAATGCCTCCATCCGTTCCCGGTAGTGAAGGTGTGGTATTACAGTCAGCAAGTCAATTAAATACAAATGTAATTGTCAATGGAAATGGTCACAGGCCAATGCAAGTGAGTCCAGAACAATCTAGCCCCAGTCAGGCAAGTTCCGGCCAAATGAGCCCTCAGGCGATAAACTTTTCTCGATCAAGTCCCATGCCATCACAACCTCCTCAAAGTCCCGCGATGCAAATTGGAAATAATGGTAATAATGTTATTAATGGAGCAATTAGTCATATGTCGTCATCCTTGCCTAATACTCCACACAACATGTCAAGTATGAATGGAATCCATAACGGTATGGCCTCAAGTGTGCCAGGTACGCCATTAAGTGGCCATGCGCCTACTACACCAACGAATGGAATTATACATAATACACCCATTACTCCTACAAATGTATCTCAAAATCCGCTTCCCTCAACCCCGACTAATAACGGTGATGGAAGATCTCCAATTACTCCTGGGCTTGGAATAAATTCGAATCATCATGTATTATCAAATCTTGCACATACACCACAATCTCAACAAGCATCGAAGCAACCATGGGAACATATTGAGGATGTCATGTCAATTTTAAAAACATCATTTCCATTGCTTGCTTTATCAATCGAAACTATGGTGGATCAGATCCAACTGCGTTTGAAACCATCATCTGACGAAGACATTTACCGACTGATTGTTGCGTTATTAAATGATGGAGTACAGGTATTACCACTTATCTCCTTTTTCCTTGCTAAATATCTATCTATTTGTGCATATCTATCTGTTTGTGCTTAAAATTTAAACCAATGCTTTATTGTAGCAAATTATTAACCGATTAAACTGTCCTCCTGATAATGGTATGTTAACCGCGACGATTGAAGGGAATATTAAACGATTCGCAGAAAATTTATTACCGGGTGCTATTAAGGTTTTTTATACGTTTAACATTTTATCAACAAATTGTTGTGTTCAATTGTTTTTAATTTTATTTGTTGATTTTTATCAGACAGCATTTGTAAATGACTTTATCGAAAAAAAACCGGACTTGATGCAATACGTCGAAACACTCCGTAAATGGAGATATCGATTTGAAATTGTTTTGGACAGTAAACCTCGAACACAGCATTTGGAACATTTTAGTCCATATCTAGTTGAATTCCAACACCAAAAATTCGAAGAGGTTGAAGTTCCAGGGCAGTACTTATTGGTAATGTCTATTGCAATTTACATGTTTATTAATTAATGTCTAGCATTGTGCTTACTCGATTCTTTTTGTTTAGCATAAATACCACAATAATACTGAATTCGTTCGCATCGACCGATTTATGTCAGAAGTTGAGGTTATTAGATCACATGGAATCTGTTATCGAAGGCTTACCATACGTGGACACGATGGGAGTCTCCACCCTTTCGCCGTTCAACTTCCATCAGCAAGGCAAAGTCGTCGCGAAGAACGAATAATTCAACTTTTTAGGATATTAAATACGTAAGTCACTTTACAACTCACTTAATTATCTTAATTATTAACGTGCCATTACTTTAATAATAATATTTTTAAATGTTTAGTGTACTGGAACGCCGTAAAGAAAGTCGCAAGCGTAATCTTTCCTTCCATCTCCCTTTAATTATCCCATTAGGACCTCAGATTAGGATAGTTCAGGACGATCCTTCATATTGTTCCTTGCAAGAGGTTTACGAAGATCATTGCGACGTTACTGGAATTTCTAAAGATGAAGTAATAATTTATTATACTAATAAGATGAGAGCCAACATGCCTTATATTCAGACGGTAAGATTACATCTATATATTTTGCCAATTGCACAATCTCTGCTATGATGATATTAAATTATCCGGGTAAATCATTATTCATCGTTATTCACTTTTGGTGCTTTTGGTGGCCATTAGCAATTTTTACCCGGGTATAATCTCTAATAGGCCTAGTAATCTAGTAATCAAGAATTTTTCGAATATGAATTATGTATAATAATTTATTATCGTGACTGAAAGATCGTGACTGAAAGTATCAATTTTATATTTTTAATGTCATCAACTATAGGCGAAGGACATGGGAAACTTGAGAGTCGAAATTGCTGAACAAATTGCATCTAAATTTATTCCAAGTGACATACTGACAAAGGTTAGTTTATACTAAATAATTTCATAATTTCAATTTCATAATTTCTTATTTACTTATCTCATACTGATTTGATTCGATTATTTAAAACAGTTTATGACCAAAACCATGAAGTCGCACGAAGATCTTTGGACTATAAGAAAACGATTCACCACCCAAATGGCGGCAGTATCTTTTATGACTTATATTATGTCTATTAATCAAAGGCATCCGCATAAGTTTATGATCTCACGAAATACTGGTAACATCTGGATGACTGAATTACTTCCTGGTATGTCACTTATTCAAATGAAGATCATGTTTCAAAAAGATAAACTTTTATCTAATTTTTTAAATAAACGTATTAGCATTCACGCAGAATATGCCAATGTTACATAATAATGAAGCGGTGCCATTCAGGTATACACGTAGTCTACAGCATTTTATGACACAGATTGGTATAGAAGGCGTTTTTAGCTCAGGTTCGGTTTAAATTTATTTGTAATTCGTAATGGAATATGATTCGTATTGAAAACATTGAATTATGTCATGACATTTATGAACAGCATTAACGGCAATTGGACGCTGTCTAACCGAACCCGAAGTAAGTTTTTCTTAATTTAATCATTAATTAATAAATAAATAAATAATAATAAACTAATACTTCAATACAAATTTTCCAAATTTTATAAGTTTGATTTGGGACAATATCTGGGCATATTTATCCGAGATGAACTAATTACTTGGCACTTCATGGTCCAAAGGCCTGTTAACGAACAAAATCTTCGACAAAAAGTAGCGTTAAATGTGGATCAGATTGTTAATAAGGCTCAAGCCATTGGAGGTATTGATGTAGAACGAGAAAAGGTATATAATGTGTGAAATGTTGATTTTATTATGTCGAAAAAATTTAACAATATTAAATCATATAACATTTTTAATAGCCTAATCTTTTTAAATTGAGTGGTTCAGTATTAGAATTAATAAAAACAGCGAGTAATTCACAAAACTTGGCTGCCATGGAAGTGTGTACCTTTTTTTTATTATTATAGTTTTTTAATTATCATCATCAGATATTTTAACTAATTGCGTTTATTTATTGTCATAGGTTAATTGGATGCAATGGTTGTAAATTTTATTTCATAAAATATGTAATATTTATTTTGTTAGCAAGCATATTTGCGTTGATAATTAACAGTGTAAATAGAATAATCAAATATAATATACATAAATACGTACATGCGTACGTATATACATGGTTGAGTCATACGATGATCTATTTATAAATATGGAAAGGAACAAGAATGTTTTCAGAACGAATCGACTACAATGCGAGTATGTACTACATCTAAGATTTCATACCTGTGTGTGACAAATTAAAATGTCAACTTTATTTAGTAAGATTAGCGATAATATGATCTGTTGTTGGATTGAAAGATCCTGTTTACTAGTTTGTGGCTTTCAATTTGAATCATAAAACGCGGCTAGGAATCTTCGAAACAAAACGCGCAAATCAAAAGTGAAAATCTTATAGTAATAAGCCACAATTCGATAAAAACCAAGATTTTCGAAATAATTAAAATACTCATTGAAGTAATCATAAGTAATCATTACTGCTACGTAAAGAAATTTGGAATAAACTGTGATTATTTATCATTTCGATATGTATTTGTAGTTTTAAATTTTGAGAAAAAACAACCTTTCAAAAAACTCTTCATATCACAATAAATTAAAGTTGTCTTGATATGTCTTGTATGAATAATTTGATGTCACACTGCCGCTAATCTTCCGTTTTCATGCCTCTTTCTCTCCTTTCAACTTTACCCGCGCTGTCTGCAGGACAACCAATGTACACTTTTATATGTTCACATCGCCCATCGCCGCTTCCATTATCGGTATTAAAGAATGACGTCAATAAGCGAGGCGTTTTGTTTTCATCTCGCACAAAAACCCAATTTTCACTGGCCGAAAACATCCTCGCTTTTGTCAAACATGCTGCAACAAAAATTTGTCATTTCCCCCCTCATTCCCCCTCTGACATATAAAAGTTGTCTATCTTTACTTTTTAAAATCTATTATTTCTTCCATTTCAATATCTTTGAATATAAATAAAAAAAAAACTCGTAACCAACCTATTTTGGATAAAGTTTTGGTCGTTTTATTATATTCATGTCTTCTCTAATAAGTACTAGCGATAGTGAAAATTCTCTCCCTTCAATCAGAAGTCACTTAGGTTTGTTGAAATGTAAATGGGATGATTGCTCTTCAAGCTTTAGGCTTTTAAACGACTTAGTAAACCATTTGCACGAAGGTAGCCTATAAATACTCCTATGATACACCTGGTTACCAACAAGTTTCCCCGATATAGAAGGAACTGTTGAACTAGTGTGACCACTTTTCCTTACTTTACAATTTTATCTTCTCCGCGTTCCCTTTCTAAATTATCCTTTTTATTTAGACCACGTAGGTCGTAAAAAGGCAAATTATACCTGTGAGTGGGATAGTTGTCCGAGAAAAGGTGCTACTCAAACCTCACGGTTTGCTTTGATCACTCACTTAAGGAGTCATACTGGTGAGAAGCCGTACGATTGTAAAGAGCCAGGTAGATCTTTTTCACTTTAATTTCTCTCATTTTTTGTGTTGCATTAATTTTTTCTTACTTCTTTATTAATAGGTTGCGAGAAAAGTTTTACGCGACCAGACTCATTAACAAAGGTACCTTTTACTAATTTAATTTTTGCTTTTTAATACAGGTGAACATTCCTTTTTGCTTAAAATTACTCGTACATTATTATAGCATATGAAGAGCCAGCACGTAGATCCACGAAAGAAACGTATCATGGAAGAAGGTCAAAGAACATATAAAAAACGAAAATTGTCAACGTCTCCGGAAGATGATGATGATGAATCACATACTTCTCATAGTCTTCAATCTAGTAGACAACCGCGTTTAAATAATAATCAACACAACATTACATCACGGCAGAGATTGAATTCTTCTCGTCAGCCTTCCGAAAAACCAAGACAACAATCATCTTCACGTCTACATTCTGAAAATTCTTATCCAAATCGTAATTACACATCCGATGATGATACTTCGGTATCTGAAGTTTCAGATGTATCTTCAACTGATGATGATAATGATAAATCTTTTTACGAGAAGTATCTTGTTTTAAAAGCTAAACATAGATATATTCGAAGAGAAAATGAATTGCTTTTAGATGAATATCAATCTACCAAAAAGAAATTGAAAAGACTAAGAACAGAAAAAGACATTCTTTTAGACGCTGTTGTGGCTCAGGATGGTGATGGTTAATTCGTGATTGTGTTTGCATTTTACATATGCTCATATATAATCTATATATACATCATTGTACATAAAAAATTTTTACTAATAGGATTGAGGAATTTGATAAAATTATTTGTAAGCTTTTTTGGCGTAACAATAAATCGTTCGAACCTCTCCTAATTTTCTTTTTTTTTTTTTTGTTTTTTTTTTTTTTTGTATTATAATGACTGACTATTAATTTTTGCGGCACTGCCTTTTTATATTTCATCAATTTTTTCTAGTTCTAGTGATATATATTTTCTCTACAAATGTAATTAATAACGATAATGATAAAAAAATAGAGTATTATAGAAAAATTTTTTATTATAGCTATAACTTTTGCTAGATTTTGTACTGTATATAGGTATAATAAAATCAATAGATTTTTAACTAATATTTCTTAACAGTCTTGATCTATAGCTTGTTATAACCGTTACTTATTGTCCGAAAACACTAAAAGCGAACAAGGTGGGGAAATATACTTCTTCATGCCCAAGTATGCTTTTATAAATATATATATATTAGTATTATTTTTATAAAAGCAGTTAATATTTATTTAGCATGTTTTTAATATAATTATTTATTACAATTGATATAGCCATCTAAATATATAATTATATTATTTTTATAAATACTTTTTTTTTGTTAAATTTGATAAAAAAAATTAATTTGCATTAAAACAGTTATTATTTTTAAGATTATAATGTTTTTTGCATCTAGTAAGCTATTCTTAAAAGAGAATAATGTAAGTAAATAAGTGGTAAAGTTTATTTATATAGAGAATCAAGCTTATAATAATTAAGCTCAATATATAAATCAGGTTATAGTCTTTTTTGTAGTTATAGAATCAAGTATACAGTATACATTTTTGTAAAAAAAAATTTTTTTAAATTTTATATTATTTTTTTTAAAAAAAAAACTTTACTAATTATATGATTTGTTTTATTTAACTTAGATACTTATTATAATAAATAGACTTAAATACTTGTTACAATAAATAGTTTATTTTAATTTATTCTTATTGTATTATTACAATATTAAATTTTTTTTTTTTTTGGTGTTAAGGTGAGGCCTTGCTCATATCTTTATTAGTAATTTTAGTTGTACATATTAATATACTATATACTAAGATATACTAAGATTGTAAACTACAAAATAAAAATTACATGCAAGAATTAAAGCTCAGACAGTTTTATCTGCGACCTAAACCGAACAATATTAAATATTATAACTATATAATAACAAATCTATTTAAATTTATACTCATAATAAGGGTTTTTAAATTTGATTTAATTAGTTTAATTAAACTTTTAATTTAAATATTTTTTAATAATTTTAAATAAAATTATTAAACTTAAACTAAATTTAAATATAATTACAAAGTTTATTTAAATTTTATTATTATTATTATTATTATTATTATTATTTATTTATTTTTTAAAACAGCAATCTTGCCTGTCTGTCTTTATTGGATAATATATTTATTATTACAATTATATACAAAGTTTATCAACAAAAGTACAACTAGTCACACATATAACTTTAGTCATTATCTAATTAAGAGTTCTGCCCAAGAGTTACCTACTAGCTGTCATATCTGAGATCTATCTATGAATCCTTTATTTAAACTTTCTGATTTTAATTCTATTGCATATATGCAATATTTCTATTACCACATAGACATACCAGATTAGAGCTATCTAATTACTATTTATATCAAGATACCATCTCATTAGATGTTACCAGATATCCATAGTCTCTCGAATTTATCCTCAATGCAAACTTACTAAGTTGGTATCAAGATTACCTTTTAGATTTATCCAATTTAGTAGATCTTATATTTACTAGAACTGATTTGATATCAAAAGTATTCAAATTTTGGTAAGTCTATTCCTTTTTCATAGTTTTCTTTTATGTTTACTATATCACCTGCTAGTGCATCTTCTCTCCATTTCTGATATGTTCATCACTTCTCTCACATCGAATACCAATTCTTCATATCAGAAGACTTCTTTCTAAAAATTTTCTTATATATTGATCTTCTAATCACATGAACTTAGTCACAGAGTTTCATGTACATTTATATGTTTCTATAGATTATAGAGTTTGTCTTCAGCTGTAATTGAACTGTTGACTTTGTCTGTAAAGAAAAAAGCACCTAGACCACTAGGCTACAAGACTTCATCTTATTATTATTATTATTATTATTATTATTATTATTATTATTATTATTATTATATAATATTATAATAGAAATTTTAAAATACAATAAGAAATTTAATTACAGAAAAAAATTTCTAAAATAAAAATTTTTAAACTATATTTGTGTTACTAAAAAAATAGACACCTAATATGATATTACATCTTCTATTTTCTAATGAATATTATAGATAAATGTTTTAAAATATTTTCTAATTAAAATAGGTTAGAGAAAACCTTAAGTAGGAGTGTAGCGACCTAGTGAAGTGATCAGGTTGTCAACCCCCCAAGTGGTAGGTTGGGTGTTCAAATTCCATCGACAGCGAAAATTTGGATAATCACCTATGTAATATTCATATTACGGCAACTGTTATTAACGATTGGGTTAGGATACCTGTAATGGCGGTCGCACTAGCATGACTGGCAGGTCATGAGGCATTCGTGTAACAGGTCACATGACATTGTCCTTTGGGACAAGGTTGTGGTTACACAAAGGAATGCAAACCGGCAA